GACTGTAGTGGATGAGAGGAGGAGGTGGATAAATGAAACTTACTGAAAACACATCTGATCAGCAGAAATCTCACCACAAATGTTCACTGCAGCACCTGAGATAAAGTGCAGCTCACAGCGCCAAACAGAGGAGGAACTCTTTCAGCACTCACAGCTCAAGAGCTGGGTGGAGTTCACTCACGCTGAGTCCATATTATCAGTTAGGGTAACATGCTAGATTAGTATGTTTGGGATACCACACTACCCTCTACATTTGGATTTCACTGTGGGAGAAAACTGATGTGTAGCGTGTGCACATTGTTAATTGCTTGAGTCTCACGCTTGATGCCTGAGAGCTGGAAGCTCTGGTGTTACTGAAAGGTTCAGCAAGCTAAAGCTTTGCTAGTTAACACTTGTTTCGTCCAGAAATTTGGCCGTTGCCTCCCAATGATTTTATTTTTCTCTGTGTGTTTTGGCTTTTCTTTTTTGGGCCCCTGGCAGGCTGCAGCGTTCGCTTAAATTAGGGTCTTGCGCATTTGAATGGCCACAGCAAGAAGGTCGCGAGCTCCAACCCCGGCCGTCCCGGCCTTTCTGTGCAGAGTTTTATGTTCTCTCCGTGTCTGCGTGGGTTTCCTCCACCATCAACAACATGTTAGTTCTTCAGTCAGTGCAACTGACCGGGCACTGATACAAACCTGGAGTTGGTCCCTGGGCGCTGCACAGCGGCTGCACAGCGGCTCCCTTGAGGGATGGGTTTAAGTGCAGAGAACAAATTTTGTAACATGTATGTGACAATTAAAGTATCTTCTACCTTTAGTTTTTCAACATGTTCAACTTTTCACAGAGCCGACAGGCTCGTCAGTGTCTCTTTTCACTAACTGACCAATCACAGCCTGGATGGGAAGGGACATTAAAAAAGTTTGACGTGCTGCAGTAAATCATTAAATGTTGAACAATATGATTATTTATCAGTTAGCACTGAGCGTTAACACATTAGAGACTGATGGAGAGGCTTTTTCTGAATGGAGGAATAAAAACAACCCACAGAAATGAAACAGCTGGATTTAATATTCAACTAGTGGGGAAAAAGTCTACTATTATATGAAATTCTAATGAATGTAGTATTTAATATATTGTTGTTATACTAACAGTATACTATTAAGTAAACATTATACTCTTTGTGTAATACACTGGTGTGCAGTTCCTCCTCCAGGCTGCAGATGGAGCCGGTGAGCCAATATTTGCTGCTTCACCTCCTCTAAAGTTATTGTTATAAATATTGTTTTGTTTCAAACTTTGTTCAAGGTGATAAATGCACATTTCAAAATGTCAGCATTTCACACATTCCTTGATCATTAAGCGAGTGGACTCGTAGTACCGTTTGTTCCATTATAGTTGAAATCGCAGTGACCTTTTCTCCAAACCGTGACGCCCTAGTTATCAGATCGTATGAAATATGTTGTAAAGATAATAGTTCACTTATTTATCATGTAAATACACCTAAAAAGTTTTCTTATTCATATGAGACAGTAAGTTAAGTGTTTTCTTTGATCCCATGTAAGGGTCATCCATAGACCTTTCCATGGGCCCCCTTGGGCCGGGGTCATCTGTACCCTTTGAGCACCCCGACGGCGGGCCTGCTGCTGAGTGTGCACACCACGTGTCTGTAACAAATAACCTGTGCAGAACAGACTCCGCCCCCACAGCTGAGCAGTGTGACCTTCAGGAAGGAGAGGGTTAAGGTGTTCCTAATAATCTGGACGCTGCAGCTGGACACAGACACTGTGATTGGTTAAAAAATATCTAATGCTTGTGTGTTTTCAGGTGAAGTGGACGATGGAGGTGTTGTGTTACGGTTTGACTCTCCCATTGGACGGAGATACCGTCAAACTCTGCGTAGATGTCTACACTGATTGGCTGATGGCCCTGGTTTCCCCGAGAGACTCCATCCCTCCACCAATCAGCAGAGAGCCCAACCTGTACGTCCAGACGATCCTCCGACACCTGTACAGCCTGTTCCTGCCCAGGTAGACTGTCACACCTGGACTGAGCCACTGACAGACATCTGATCCCAGACCTGATCCATAAACCTTTAATGACCCCATGACGTTACGTTACATTTACTATCCCAGCATCAGCACAGCACGAGATCTCCAGATAACGAGATCCTACTAAGAGCTGTCAGCACGTACAGCATCAGTGGGGTAAAGTGAGAGGGACGCCTGCTCTGATGGCGTGCGGCAGCTCGTTCCACCATCGTGGTGTCACAGATGAGAACAGGGACTGAGGTCGCTTTTTGTGAAGGGATGGCAGAGCCAGGCGGCGTTCGTTGGAGGAGCGTAGCGGCCCAGAAGGAACGTAGGCTTGGATTATGGAGTTTAGGTAGATGGTGCAGACCCAGTAGTAGCTCTGGATGCAGCATTAGGGATTTGAATCTGATTCTGGGGGCCACGGGGAGCCAGTGGAGGTCACTGAGTAATGGAGGGACACGAGTCCTTTTGGGCTGATCAGAAACCAGACGGGCTGCTGAGCTCTGAACCATTTGTAGGGGTTTCACCGGACAAGCTGGAAGAGCTGCGAGGAGGGCAGAGAGGTAACCACGGCCTGGACCAGAAGCTGGGTGGAAAGAAACTGTTCAGGAATCTGGAGGTGCGGGTCTTAATGGACCTGTAGCGCCTCCCAGAGGGCAGCAGGGTGAATAGGTGACTGCCTGGGTGGGATGAGTCCTGGATGATGTTTGTGGCCCAGCAGAGACATGGGGATCTGTAGATGTTGGTGAGAGAGGGCAGCTGTGTGTTGGTGACGTTCTGAGCTGATCTAATAAGGTTCTGTAGTGCCTTTCTGTCAGCCTCAGTGAACCACACCAGAACAGTGTGAGAGGATGTTTTCAACAGAACCTCTGTTAAAGGAAATCAGCAGCTTCTGACACAAGTTCACCTTCCTCAGTGCCCTCAGAAAACAGAGCGTGGTAGTGTTAATGGTCCATGTGTGCCCAGGAATCTGAAGTTGCTGACTCGCTCGGCCATGTCTCCTTTGATGTATAGAGGAGCAAATTCTCCTTCCTTCCTCCTAAAGTCAATTATCCCTTCTTTTGTTTGGAGGGGTTGAGTACCAGGTTGTTAATGTGGCACCATGTAGTCAGTTTCTGGACTTCATCCCTGTTGGCAGACTCATCGTTTTTTTGTATGAGGCCCACCACAGTTGTGTCGTCTGCAAATTTAATGAAGGTGTTATTGCTGTCGATCGGTGTGCAGTCATAGGTGTAGAGTGTAAAGCAGAGGACTCAGCACGCATCCCTGTGCTGAGTCCAGTGCTTTACACTGGACTCAGCTCCAGTGCTGACTGTCAGGATCGGGGAGTGAAAGGAGGTTCTAGAAGTCCTTTAGGAGGTTCCAGTGGTCACTGGTGGGTCTAGAAGTTCTTTAGGAGGTTCTAGAAGGTCAGAGGAAGTTCCTTTGGTCCTTTAGGAGGTTCCAGTGGTCAGAGGAAGTTCCTTTGGTCCTTTGGGAGGTTCCAGTGGTCACTGGTGGGTCTAGAAGTCCTTTAGGAGGTTCCAGTGGTCAGAGGAAGTTCCTTTGGTCCTTTGGGAGGTTCCAGTGGTCACTGGTGGGTCTAGAAGTCCTTTAGGAGGTTCTAGAAGGTCAGAGGAAGTTCCTTTGGTCCTTTAGGAGGTTCCAGTGGCCAGAGGAAGTTCCTTTGGTCCTTTGGGAGGTTCCAGTGGTCACTGGTGGGTCTAGAAGTCCTTTAGGAGGTTCCAGTGGTCGGAGGAAGTTCCTTTGGTCCTTTGGGAGGTTCCAGTGGTCACTGGTGGGTCTAGAAGTCCTTTTTGGAGGTTCCAGTGGTCAGTGGAAGTTCCTTTGGTCCTTTGGGAGGTTCCAGTGGTCACTGGTGGGTCTAGAAGTCCTTTAGGAGGTTCTAGAAGGTCAGAGGAAGTTCCTTTGGTCCTTTAGGAGGTTCCAGTGGTCGGAGGAAGCTCCTTTGGTCCTTTAGGAGGTTCTAGAAGGTCAGAGGAAGTTCCTTTGGGCCTTTAGGAGGTTCTAGAAGGTCAGAGGAAGTTCCTTTGGTCCTTTAGGAGGTTCCAGTGGTCGGAGGAAGCTCCTTTGGTCCTTTGGCGGTTTCCGCTGCCTGCCAACCAATACGCAAGTGATACACTGTTACTTTGAGTTTGTTACTTTTTGCGTTGCCATAATGCTGGATGGTTGTCTTTAGGTTTGGTTTAGTGGGGGTCTAGATGTCCTTCATGTGTCTGACCAGGTGTAGTGTTCACTGTAAAATGCTTTATGTTGGTATTTGTCCTCTCTGAACTTTTTATAAATATAAATGAAGTTAATAAACCCATGCCCCCCCAACCCCAGGTCAGACCAGGCGAGTCCGGGCTACCTGTCTCTCTGTCAGCAGGTGTTGTGTGCAGTTCAGTCATTGGCCAGAGAGAGCGCTGTGATGAACAGAGACACCTGGGAAACTCTGCTGCACTTCCTGCTCCACATCAACCATGCCATTTTGGCCTCGCCTACTGCCGCAGGTGAGCCAGAGACCCGCCCCTTTGAGTTCTCACTTGTCTGTCTGTCTGCAGGCGGAGTGTCTGAACAGCTGTCTCTCACCTGTCTGTCTCTCACCTACTGTCTGCAGGCTGAGCGAATGAGCAGCTGTCTCTCACCTGTCTGTCTGCAGGCTGAGCGTCTGAGCAGCTGTCTCTCACCTGTCTGTCTCTCACCTGTCTGTCTGCAGGCTGAGCGAATGAGCAGCTGTCTCTCACCTGTCTGTCTGCAGGCTGAGCGAATGAGCAGCTGTCTCTCACCTACTGTCTGCAGGCGGAGTGTCTGAGCAGCTGTCTTTCACCTGTCTGTCTCTCACCTGTCTGTCTGCAGGCTGAGCGAATGAGCAGCTGTCTCTCACCTGTCTGTCTGCAGGCTGAGCGAATGAGCAGCTGTCTCTCACCTACTGTCTGCAGGCTGAGCGTCTGAGCAGCTGTCTCTCACCTGTCTGTCTCTCACCTGTCTGTCTGCAGGCTGAGCGAATGAGCAGCTGTCTCTCACCTGTCTGTCTGCAGGCTGAGCGTCTGAACAGCTGTCTCTCACCTACTGTCTGCAGGCGGAGTGTCGGAGCAGCTGTCTTACCTGTCTGTCTCTCACCTGTCTGTCTCTTACCTGTCTGTCTCTCACCTGTCTGTCTCTTACCTGTCTGTCTCTCACCTGTCTGTCTGCAGAGTGAGCGTCTGAGCAGCTGTCTCTTACCTGTCTGTCTCTCACCTACTGTCTGCAGAGTGAGCGTCTGAGCAGCTGTCTCTCACCTGTCTGTCTCTCACCTGTCTGTCTCTTACCTGTCTGTCTCTCACCTACTGTCTGCAGGCGGAGTGTTTGAGCAGCTGTCTCACCTGTCTATGGCGGTGCTGTTTGAGGTGTGGTTGCTGTCTCTCACCTGTCTGTCTCTTACCTGTCTGTCTCTCACCTACTGTCTGCAGAGTGAGCGTCTGAGCAGCTGTCTCTCACCTGTCTGTCTCTCACCTGTCTGTCTGCAGAGTGAGCGTCTGAGCAGCTGTCTCTCACCTGTCTGTCTCTTACCTGTCTGTCTCTCACCTACTGTCTGCAGGCGGAGTGTTTGAGCAGCTGTCTCTCACCTGTCTGTCTCTTACCTGTCTGTCTCTCACCTGTCTGTCTGCAGGCGGAGTGTTTGAGCAGCTGTCTCTCACCTGTCTGTCTCTTACCTGTCTGTCTCTCACCTACTGTCTGCAGAGTGAGCGTCTGAGCAGCTGTCTCTTACCTGTCTGTCTCTCACCTACTGTCTGCAGGCGGAGTGTCTGAGCAGCTGTCTCTCACCTGTCTGTCTCTCACCTGTCTGTCTCTCACCTACTGTCTGCAGGCGGAGTGTCGGAGCAGCTGTCTCACCTGTCTGTCTCTCACCTACTGTCTGCAGAGTGAGCGTCTGAGCAGCTGTCTCTCACCTGTCTGTCTCTTACCTGTCTGTCTCTCACCTACTGTCTGCAGGCGGAGTGTTTGAGCAGCTGTCTCACCTGTCTATGGCGGTGCTGTTTGAGGTGTGGTTGCTGTCTCTCACCTGTCTGTCTCTTACCTGTCTGTCTCTCACCTACTGTCTGCAGAGTGAGCGTCTGAGCAGCTGTCTCTCACCTGTCTGTCTCTTACCTGTCTGTCTGCAGAGTGAGCGTCTGAGCAGCTGTCTCTCACCTGTCTGTCTCTTACCTGTCTGTCTCTCACCTACTGTCTGCAGGCGGAGTGTTTGAGCAGCTGTCTCTCACCTGTCTGTCTCTTACCTGTCTGTCTCTCACCTGTCTGTCTGCAGGCGGAGTGTTTGAGCAGCTGTCTCTCACCTGTCTGTCTCTTACCTGTCTGTCTCTCACCTGTCTGTCTGCAGGCGGAGTGTTTGAGCAGCTGTCTCTTACCTGTCTGTCTCTCACCTACTGTCTGCAGGCGGAGTGTTTGAGCAGCTGTCTCTCACCTGTCTGTCTCTCACCTGTCTGTCTGCAGGCGGAGTGTTTGAGCAGCTGTCTCTCACCTGTCTGTCTCTTACCTGTCTGTCTCTCACCTGTCTGTCTGCAGGCGGAGTGTTTGAGCAGCTGTCTCTTACCTGTCTGTCTCTCACCTGTCTGTCTGCAGGCGGAGTGTTTGAGCAGCTGTCTCTCACCTGTCTGTCTCTTACCTGTCTGTCTCTCACCTACTGTCTGCAGAGTGAGCGTCTGAGCAGCTGTCTCTCACCTGTCTGTCTCTTACCTGTCTGTCTCTCACCTACTGTCTGCAGGCGGAGTGTCTGAGCAGCTGTCTCTCACCTGTCTGTCTCTTACCTGTCTGTCTCTCACCTGTCTGTCTGCAGGCGGAGTGTTTGAGCAGCTGTCTCTCACCTGTCTGTCTCTTACCTGTCTGTCTCTCACCTGTCTGTCTGCAGAGTGAGCGTCTGAGCAGCTGTCTCTCACCTGTCTGTCTCTTACCTGTCTGTCTCTCACCTACTGTCTGCAGGCGGAGTGTTTGAGCAGCTGTCTCTCACCTGTCTGTCTCTTACCTGTCTGTCTCTCACCTGTCTGTCTGCAGGCGGAGTGTTTGAGCAGCTGTCTCTCACCTGTCTGTCTCTTACCTGTCTGTCTCTCACCTGTCTGTCTGCAGGCGGAGTGTTTGAGCAGCTGTCTCTCACCTGTCTGTCTCTTACCTGTCTGTCTCTCACCTGTCTGTCTGCAGGCGGAGTGTTTGAGCAGCTGTCTCTCACCTGTCTGTCTCTTACCTGTCTGTCTCTCACCTGTCTGTCTGCAGGCGGAGTGTTTGAGCAGCTGTCTCTCACCTGTCTGTCTCTTACCTGTCTGTCTCTCACCTGTCTGTCTGCAGGCGGAGTGTTTGAGCAGCTGTCTCACCTGTCTATGGCGGTGCTGTTTGAGGTGTGGTTGCTGTCTTGTTCTCGGTGTTTTCCGTCTCGCTGTTTGTGGCAGACGGGCAGACAGATGTTGAGCAGCTGGAGACATCAGCCTGCAGTGGTGGAGCAGTGGAGCCGAGTCATCGCCGCCCTGACCTCCAGGTAAACAAACACACCTGTAGTTCTCAGTACCACCTCAGAGCTCATGGCAGTATTTATATTTGTGTTGTGGGTTCAGGTTGTTGCTGCTGACCTTCGGCCCGTCCTTCCCTCCCTTTAAAATCCCAGATGAAGACGCTGCTCTGATCCCTGCAGACATGGATGAAGAGCGAGTCCCCCACACCTGGTTCAGGTTCCTGCACCTGCTCAGGTAACACTCACTCACTACAGGTAAATGTCCTAAATGTATGTTTTGTTGTTTTTTCAGTATTTGAAATATCATGAAAAATATGTCCTGTAACTCTCAGCAGGCAGTTTTTCCATTGAACCGTTCTCTTCCTCTCAGGAGGCTCAGCTCTACACCTTTTTCCTATGCAAGCTTTTTGCTGCTATAAGTTAAACCTGTCCATGTTCCCTTGGTTCATGAGTTACATATGCCACAGTATCTTTTCTGGTTGTATAGACAACATGAGTGTGGTTCTTCTTTAGTTCTCCACAGAGCCTCCAACATGGCCGCTGGGAAATGTTTTTATGTTGAGCGTTGAGCTTCCTGAGGCGACCCTGATAACACATCCACAATCATTTCATATCTTCCACTGGGTCCGTCGTCGCTTGTCCTCAAATACTTTTCCTAACTATATTATCCCCAAATTTTATTGGATCCTTTATATTCCACTGCTTTATGCTTTTATTTTTCTTTCTTATTGTGGTGGAGAGGGTTTTGGTTCCCTAGGAACCTGAGGACTGTGTTGTCTGGAGCCCCTCTCCATCCTATTGGTCCACCACCCATGAGAAGAACCGTGGGGGTCGGGTGCGCTGCCCCACGGGTGGCGGTGAAGGTCAGTGGCCTTGATGGCAGTGGAGCTTGTGCAGGAGGTAGAGCGCTAGATCTGGTGGAGTTTACCAGTGGATGAGGTGGTGGGAGGGAAAACTGCTGCATGTGCAAACACACTGAACAGCAGTTTGGAGTATTCGACCTTCTTGGAGATCCTGTATTGGGCTCCTGTAGAGGACTCCATAGTTCTGCTGGGAGACTTTAACGCACATGTTGATGGAGACATGGAGACACCTGGAGAGGCGTGATTGAGAGGACTGGCCTCCCTGATCTAAACCGAGTAGTTGTTTGTTGTTGGACTCCTATGCCCATCATGGATTATCTAGAATGACCACTGTTTGTACATAAGGATGACTTAAGACTGAAGGTCTTAGGTGCCTCAGGGGCTATAAGCCTCTGTTGATAATACATCATCCTCTTGAGGTGAATCACCACTGGGAGTAGGCCCCCTATTAACACCGTGGTGGACACTGGTGGTCAGGGAAGCCCTCCAACTGAGGGAATTTCCTGCCGCACCGCTGACGTGACAAAAAGACAGCTGAGCCAGAAGGCAAAGCTATTGATCTACTGGTCAATTTTTGTTCCTACTCACCTATGGTCATGAAGGCCGGGTCAAGACTGAAAGTACTAGAACGCGAGTATAAGCGGCCATAATGGGGTTTCTCTGGACGGGGGCTGGCCTTTCCCTTAAGATAGGGTGAGAACCCAAGTCAGCATGAGGAACTCAGAGTGGAGCTGCTGCTCCTTTGCGTTGAAAGGAGCCAGTTGAGGTGGTTTGGGCATCTTGTAAGGATGCTGCTGCTCCCACGACCCAAACTGGGATAAGTGCTTGACTGATGGAGGGATGGAGTTTTCAACCCACAGACATGTATGTTGTAGAACTCTGAGCATTATGTGATCACTAACTACAGTAGATCTTCTTCAAGCATCAGTAACTTCTTTTTCCAGTAACCCAGTGGACCTCAGCCACCTGGGGATTGTCGGTTCAACTCCTTCCTCTCAGCAGGAGGCGTTGAGTGGAGATAGTCAGCTGCCAAATGTCTTCTTCAGAGCCATGAGAGGAGTCAGCGCGCTGGTCGATGCCTTCCTGGGTACACTGACATCTATCTATCTACCTCCCTACCTCCCTACCTCCCTACCTACCTACCTACCTACCTACCTACCTACCTACCTCCCTACCTCCCTACCTCCCTACCTACCTACCTACCTACCTACCTCCCTACCTCCCTACCTACCTACCTACCTACCTACCTCCCTACCTCCCTACCTACCTACCTACCTACGCTGTCATATAGAGCAGCTCTAGACCGTACTCTTTGTAAAAAGAATACAGCAGTTCCCACCATGAGCAAACACCTGGCCACACAGGCAAGGAAAATCTCCCTTCAACAGGTAGAAACCTTGAGCAGGACCTGGACTCAGAGGGGGGGAAAGTCATCTGCCTCAAACAGCTGGAGAGAGAGAGACAGCACAGGGGGAAAGTGAACACACAGTAGCCCAACAGAGATGTAAAATAATACTAATATAAGCTTTATTAAAGAGGAAAGTCTTAAGCCTACTCTTAAATGTGGAGATGGTGTCTGCCTCCTGAACCCAAACTGGAACCTGGTTCCACAGGAGAGGAGCTTGATAGCTGAACGCTCTGGCTCCTAGTCTACTTTTGGAGAGTCTAGGAACCACAGATGCATTCTGGGAGCGCAGTGCTCTGGTGGGGTAGTAAGGTACTATGAGCTCTTTAAGATAAGATGGTGCCTGACCATTAAGAGCTTTGTAGGTAAGAAGAATGATTTTAAATTCTATTCTGGATTTTACTGGAAGCCAAAGAAGCTAAAGAGAAGCTAAAACAGGAGAAATATGATCTCTTATCCTGGTTCCTGTCAGAACACGTGCTGCAGCATTCTGGATCAGCTGAAGAGTCTTAATGGACTTTTTCGAGCAGTCTGATAATAAGGAATTGCAGTAATCCAGCCTAGAAGTAACAAATGCACGGACTAGTTTTTCTGCATCATTTTTAGACAGGATGTTGCTGATTTTCGCAATATTACGTAGGTGAAAAAAAGGCGGTCCTTGAAATTTGCTTAATGTGAGACTTAAACGACATGTCCTGATCAAAGATAACTCCAAGATTCCTCACAGTGGTGCTGGAGGCCAGGGCGATGCCATCAAGGGAAACTATATCTTTAGATAATGCGTCACGGAGGTGCTTAGGCCCCAGAGCAATAACTTCAGTTTTATCTGAGTTTAACATTAGAAAATTACAGGTCATCCAGGTTTTAACATCCTGAAGGCACATTTGAAGTTTAGCTGACTGATGAGTTTCATCTGGTTTGATCAGTAGATATAACTGAGTATCATCTGCATAACAATGAAAGCTTATGGAATATTTCCTGATAATATTGCTTAAAGGAAGCATATATAAAGTGAAGAGGATTGGTCCGAGGACAGATCCTTGAGGAACTCCATGACTAACTTTGGCGTGCATGGAGGACTCATCGTTAACATGTACAAACTGAAATCGATCTGATAAATAGGACTTAAACCAGCTTAGAGCGGTTCCTTTAATGCCAATGAAATGTTCTCGGAGGGGAAACCCATGACTTTCAACATTAATTAATTTTAACACAGTGTTCTGTGGAGTTCTCACAGTATGTTCAGAATAACCATCAGAGATTTCCTTTCACAACCTGAAGATGATTGTTTTATATGTTAATGAGCTGTTGGTATGAGTTGTTACTCTTAACTTGTGTTTCTGTAGGTGTGACTGTGGTCAACAAAGAGCAGTTGCTGCCACACACAGGTATGCACACTATTCCTGTACACTGCTCTCATTGCTGCTGCTCTA